GCCAGCGCTGTGTCCCGCCTGCCCGCCCGGCCCCTGGCCCCTGGTGGCGCCCAGTTACTCACAGGCGTCCGCCAGCCGACCCGCGACTAGCTGGGCTCTGGCAGCTCCCAACTCCCTGCAGAAATGAAAGCGAAGCTCCCACGGGACGCGCCTTTAAACCCTCCGGGAACGGGTCCCTGGAAAACCCCGGGGTTTTCTGCTCCCGCCGGGAGGTGGTGGGTGTTTCCCACCAGGGCCGTAGCCCCCGGTGCCTACTGCTGGGAACCCAAGTCCTGGGGCGGGCCCAGCCAGGGCACCGAACAGCCAGTGGTAGGTTTGTTGTGTTTTCTTATGTACGTGCTATTAATTCAAGAAGGCTTAGAGAGCTGTGGCCGAGTTCTAGAGTCTTACAGAATCTGGGATAACACAACGGAGCGGGAAATGACATTGGAATGGACGAGGGCGTCGTTGAAACCGGCAGAATTCCCGTCCGTCCTTAACCCGTTGGCCAAGTGGAAAGAGCTAAAGAGGTCACTGGAAGAGGAAAGAAGGGAAAGGAGTGGCAGGGGAGAGGCTCCAGCGAAGGAAATTGGAATCCTTTTAAATAGTTCCTCTAGCGAAAGAAGGTGCAGGCTGGGAGAAAATCCCAAATCAACCTCCTTGCCATCTTGTTGATTCTGCTTCCTGGTGACCCCATGGAGCAGGGGGCACTGCCCCTGTGGGTGTCTGCCTGTCTTTCTCCCAGGGTGATTTGGAACTCCATACTCCCCGGGGAGCAACCCAGCGCCTAACCTCTACACCACGAAGACTGGGAGGAGGGGAGGATCAGCGGCCTGGTACCGGTTCTGTTCTCTCATGCCCATCTGGACGCTTTTCCCAGCTCAAAAGAACCAACCTCTCTTCCTCCCATGCGCTTTTAATCATGTAAAGGCGGCACTGTCAAGGAATGCGAACTCAGTAGTAGAACTCAGTAAGTGATGCGAGGACGAGTCAAAAAGTCAGGGGATGGTGGAACAAAAGGTGTGATGGGTGCCTGCCACAGGTCTCCTATGGAGTTAGAGGTTTGGTGTGTCTGTACCAGGGGGCTTCAGAAATGTGTGGAGAGGATAGAACTAAAAGTTGATGGATGTTTTCTAAGAACTTTTGGAAGTAACTTTACATTTTCCTGACAATGCCCATGGTTCTGGATTGAATTCTTTCAGAACTCCAACTCCCAATCCTTCTAATGATGAGAGGCAGCACTAGAAAAGGATTTACTTTTATTACCTCAACTATATCTCCATCAATTATACACCATACGTTGCTCCTAGCTAACAAAATGCTGTAAGTCTCAGCTTTTGAGAATAATGATTACAATGAATGGTTAGGTTCCACTTGTCAGAAGAAATTTTCCTGGAACTTTATGAATGGGGCTATATTTTAGTCTTTTATTTTGTAACTTCTTTGGGGGGCTATATTTGGTCCTCACCTATACTATCTGCGTGAGGTCATCATATTTGAAGATGGAAGATAGAATAGTAATATGATAAGAAAGAATAAGCAAGCGTAACCCACAGCCAGTAAGTCAATTCTGACTCACTGTGAGTCCCTAGAGGCTGTAAATCTCTAATGGGAGAAGACAGCCTCATCCGTCTCCCAAGGAGCACTTAGTGGGTTTGAAGTACCTACCCTGCCAGTAGAGGTCTAGTGCCTACCCAACACCACCACCACCAGGGCAAATATATAGGAGTCTAAAGAAGAAATAAACATTGTACCACATCGAAATCTAAATATCTTACACGAAACAGGAAAAATTAATGCGTAGGATCAGTTTACATATCATATTTGTACTTGGACATGATCGAGTTTCTTTGGATCCATAACCTAATGTAGTAAGTGCAAATATTTCATCTTGGTGTTTGTCTTTGGACATAGGAGTCTGTAAGGGGGAGTTTCCGAGCTCCACCAGGAAGTACTTCCTGCATTCCATTTGGCCACACTTACACAGCTATTTGTAAAGAAACATATAGCCTGTGACTACCAGCTATTTCTGGACTCTCCACCTTGACAAGCCTGTCTGAATTCTAGCTCCTACTGGACAGGTCACAGGTGTTGGGGGTGGGGGGTGGATTTCATTGTACCTCACATTCTCCATCTGGTAAATGTGAGTAGTACTCACCTCGTAAAGAGGTTATAGAATTAAGTGAAATACTTCATACAATGTCATAGATGGCTACAGAACATCTTTAAGTGTTTGTCGTGGCACTGAAGATAGAGTTTTTAGTCCAGCTATAGCAAATATTAGTTCTCTTTATCTGAACATAATCAAATTCATGTTTATAACCTTCAAAATTAGTTTCTGCATAATATGTGATTATTTCCCACAGTTTGTTAGTTTAAAATTTAAATTATTGGTTGATATGATTTCACTAATTATTCTTACTTAAGTATTAAAGCTAACTCCTATCTATTCAATTAATGTCTTCCCTCCCATCTGCCTATCTTGGTAAAAAATCACATTTCACTTTTAATTCCGTGAAAATAAATTTTGTAACATTTGTATCAGACTCTCAGTATACATTTGTGGTTCTTAAAAACCAATGAAAGGATGGACTTGATGAAATGTAAAAATTAATTTATTTATGTTCACCCTGACCCCATAACTTAGGCACTTGAGGGCTGACTGTATTATTTGGCACAAATTATAAACAAAACAATGGTTTTAGCCAACTATTATTCTGGTTTAGCCATATTCCCTATTGAAAACAAATTCTCCAGTCTCTATCCCTTTGGGGAGGTCTACAGACAATTCCACAAGCCCAAACTCACCTCGCGTTACCCTTCATGGTTTGACTTTTCTGTAACCTAATACAAATTCAGCGAGGGGGAAGATTATGACTATGTAGTCTGAACCAAATGCAAGCGAAACAATAAAAGTCGTTTCTTTCCCACCGTGACAACCATCTGGAAAGGCACCTTTCAGCTAGACCATTGGTTATTTTCTGTGTGGTCTGTGGAGAAAGGACTTCAATGACAGACTAAACTGCACGTCCTTAGTACGGGGTGTGAGGCATGGTTGTGCTTGCAGTAGGCTCTCTGAAGCCATTTCCAGTCTAAAGAGTTTCTGTCTGTGGATGGCCATGTCGGTTCTTACAGGGAAGGTGTCTGAGAACTGGGGAACCTCTTGTTACTGCTGCTAGGTGTCTTGGAGTCTGTTCGGATTCATAGTGACGCTGCATACAAGAGAAACACGGCCTGGTCCTGTGCCGTCCTCACAATCCTTGCTGGATTCAAGTCCAGGGTTGAAGCCACTCTGTCAGTCCATCCCACTGACTGACTCATTAAGAGATCTTTTCATCTAAAGTTTTTTCCTGAATCTAAGATTTTAGAAATCAGGTCAAGGAAGCTTAAAAGAGTTTTTGCTACTCACTTAGACAGCTCAGTGTCATTCCAAGACGAAAAGCCCAGTTTCCGTGGGCTTTTGAACCCTGCAATCTTACAGTGGCCTTGCCGATCCGGAGAATCCCTAAGGCCCAATGGTTTAAGGTCATCCGTTTGAACCCATCAATAGTTCCTTGTTCCTGTAAAGATTCCAAGTGCATCCACTACTACTGAGTTGTCTCTGACTCACAGGGATCTCATATGGGGTTCCCTCGGTTTAAATCTTTCTCCCAATGAGCATTTGGTGGGTTTGAATTGTTGAATATTCCGTTAGCCACCAGGGCTCTCCTGTAAAGCTTACAGCCTAGGGAAACCTAGGGGGCAGTTTCTACTCTCTCCTATAGGATTGCTATGAGTTTGAATCCACAGCCCATAACAAAAACAAGTTAATCTAGAACTAACTGATTCTTCCCCAACAAAGGCAACAAAGCACACTCTTTTCAGACAGGACAAATTGTGTTTCAGAATCAAGAATCGAGTTGTAATCTGTAGTTTCATTTAGTTACACTATACAGTTTAGTTTTCCACCCAACTGTAATTTAAAAACATTCATAAGATGCCACCCTTAAAATAAATATGTTGCTATGAATTTAGGGAGCAGTAATTGTTGGCAGGGGTAGAATTCTTGCCTTCTATTTGGAAGTCCAGTTTGATTTCCAGCCAGTTTGATTCTCAGCACCTCAAACACAGCCACCACTATCTGTTGCTGGATAGTTCCACCATGATGAAGAGACTTCAGTAGAGCTTGCAGACTAAGACAGCTTATGAAAGAAAGAACGAGATGCTTGTTGGTCTATTTCCAAGGAGCAGTGAACACCCTGGGGACGGCAGCAATCCGCTCCCATCACGCCGGAGTTGGAGGCCTCCTCAGTTGCATTTAATAGTGATGTCTGAAAACTGGGATGAAAAGAACAATTCAGTCGATGCTCATAGAAAATAAAAGCATATCATTTATTAAAACATAAAAGTGGGTTTTGGAAATAGCATATGGGTAAAGAGGAAATACACTCTCATTTCAAACTAGTGTTTATTTTATTACATTCCCCCTAAAACTCATTTCAAATTATATGCCTTTTTTTTTTAAATCATCTACTCCTTTCTATATATACCTTTAGTAAACCTATAGAATGACAAAGAAACTAATCTGGTTTGGTACTACTTCTATCAATCTAAAGACAAGTCAGAAACCTAGTAAGTACAGGTAGCTCTTGATTTATGACAGCTTCAAATTACCACACACCACGCTTAGGAAATACCCTTGGTGCCACTGCGGGTTAGGCATTGCACTCCCATCTGCAAGGTCAGCAGTTCAAAACCACAAGTCACTCTGGGAGAAAGATGAGACTTTCTCCTTCCATTAACCATTTACAGTCTGTAAAACCCTTTCAGTGTCCCCACAAGTCAGAATCAACTTCATGGTACTGGGTTCAGTTTGAGGTTTGACTGTTAACAATATTACAGCACATCATTTGTTAATGTAGTCATTCTCATGGCAATTACTAAAGCTAAATGAAGATCGGGTTTATAAAGAAAATGATCATAAAAGACGGTAATAATGAAAACTTTTAAAAAGTGAGGTATTCAATATATAGCATGAGTCAGAAGTAAAACACCCCATCATAAGTCCGTGACGACCTGTAAATTCCCAACTGATTATTCTGTGAGGACCTACAGACTGAAGGGCTAGTGAAAGAAGAGACAGATGAGGAAGTGCATAATTACACATGATTACATGTTATCAAATGATTATGGCATCCCTGATCTACTCTTGGAGTCAAAAAACCTGGATTCAAATCCAGATCTGCTGCTGTGAGCTGTGTGTTTCAAAAAGAATAACTTGAAAGTTTATACATTTAAATAATATGGCCATGGCAACTAACAATGCCTGATACATGGTAGTTACCCAAGTAAAGATAGCATCACCCTCATTGTTAATTTCCTAAGGAAATTTTTGGGTATTGTACATATAGGCACTTTAGCAGCAGAGCTATGAAATATAAATATATTTTATGTCTTACTCCTACATGTTTGGTTTTCTTAACATGTCAAGTGTCAGTCACCTTTGAAGATGAGATGTAGGCTTTTTCTTTGTTCCCACCTGTACTACCTTGTCTACCAGGTAGAAAAATACAGGTTAGAAATAGCTCTTTATGTATTAGAAATGGGTGTTTTGTGAGATAGATGATATGAAGAATGAATATGTTACTGAAAACGTATGGTATACATGAAATCCTTGTTGGTAGAGTTAGACCCTCAACTACCTCTGCACCTGGAAGACAGAAACACATAGAATGGCCATAAGTCTGAATCAACTTGTAAGCGATAAACAATAATGATATATGTGTTAGTCTGCATATACTAGAGAAATAAATTCATAGAGCTGTCCGTATGTGTATAAGAAAGAGCTTTGTATAGAAGAGCAATTGAATATTGAGGAAGCAGCCCAGCCCAGCCCAGATCAAGTCCATAAGTCCAATATTAGCCCATATGTCTGATACCAATCTACAAAGTCCTCTCCAGACTCACGAAACACATGGAATGATGCTGAATTCAGGAAGATCATAGACCAGTAAGTGGGAGGTCTTGTGGATCCAGTGGTATTGTAAGTAACTCAGTGCTGGCAGGGGTCTCTACCTGGCTCCTCCAGCTCAGGGCACTAGGGTAGCTCCATGTGTCTTGTCAGCTGGAATGTCTCCCAGGGAGTGTGTCTCCGTCCCACCTCCAGTGAGCTATTTATCTCCGTGGTGCCTCCAAATGAGGTCATCAAGCTGCGACCTGATTGAGAGGCTAAACTCCACCCCTTCACTCTTAAGTCTCAAATTGACAACAGATTATGGAACTACCACAATATACTGAAATCTTTAGACCTTGAACACAATATTAGTTCACTGGGGTCAAAGGGATGTTATTTGTACTCTTAGTCAGAGAAGAAATGTGTGTGAAGTGCTTTGCATTTGATAGTATAGTTAAATTTCATTTGGGAGAATTATAGGAAATATATTTCAAATAATACTCTGTGTACAGAAAGATGCAACAAGACATTATAGCAGGCTTATAAAGAGCGAGCTTCCTGTATAACCAAACGTTAAGGTTTCTGGATAGGGGAAAGAGTGCATAGCTCTCCATGCAGCATGTAACAGAAATTATATTATTGCATTTTTTCACATAGCAACAAGTCAGCCTCAGGTACTAAAAGAGCAGTGCGTGATGAGAACAGAGCTCTGGACAAAGTCAGTGTAACCTTTGTCAGACTTGGGGGGATGGTACACCTTTGAAGGTCCATCATTCAAGAAAAAAAGAATATAATTACAGTGCAGTGCAGTGGTGCCTACATGGTGGTAAGAGAGCAAGTGGACACACAGACCGCATCACATTTTACATAAACACGCTTTGCATGTCATCGATTCTATCTGGCATTTCAACAATGGGTGTGTGCCGTTTGTTTCCTTGTAGTATCTTTGGCTGTCTTTTTCTGCAGACACTGTCAACCCAGGTTCAACCAACTATCGTTATATTCCCGAGTCCCTGGATGGTATCGGTGGCTACGGTACTCCATGCTAACTTGGAAGTTAGAGGTCTGAGTGCACCTGGAAATGCCTTGGAAGGAAGGTCTGGGAATCTACTTTAGAAGAGTCAGCCATTGGAAATCTTATGGAGATAGTACCACTCTGACACACAGGGAGTACCTTGGGTCAGTGTCAACTTCCCGGCTACTGGTTAACTTGATATCTGTCTGCTTTTCAGAATCAGTCTCTCCTTTAATGATATCTGTTCTTCAGTGCTCCAGAAAAGAACTTCCACATAAAAAAGTGAAATAACCTACACACCAAAATGATGTCCCACTTTTTTGGTTACAGAATATTCGTTTTGGCCATTCAGAAACCAAGATGTATTTAAAAATTTTATTATGAATAATTGGTCAAGATTATTGGTACAACATGATTAAATATGCTATGACCTTTAACAGTTAGTTTATACTTATCTAATGTTGAATTTAGTTTCTTTTAGGTTTATCTTTGGAATTCCTCCCCTGATTCTTGTTCTGTTGCCAGTAGCATCGTCTGACTGTGAGATTGAAGGTAAAGAAGGCAACGAATATAAAAACATTCTAATGGTCAGCATCAATGGATTGGTATGTGTCTATTTTAATTCCTTCATATTTTCATTGGGATAATTTGAAATTTGAGCTTATGTTATTTAGTATCTCTAAAAATATTTTTTTCTTAGATTCTAAAACTCACAACTATCCATTTGACGCCTACTTCTCTTTACTGCTAAACTTGAAAGCATAATTTATCCTCACTGTCTGCATGTCTTTAATTCTCATTTACAGTACTAGTCCCCATAGAGCATTCCATTAGAAGTGGTAAAATAGCAGAGTAGAACATTAAAATATTAGCATGTAAAGAGATGTGGAGTTGTCTTGTTTTATGTGAATCTGTATGTGAGCCCTTGAAATAGGCAGCCAGGAAATCAAATAACCCAGCATATTGAACAAGTCTGCTGCTAAAGCAAAGTGTTAAAAAAAGAATAGGTCACTTTGAGGACTAAGTGAACTTGACCCAAGCTGTGGTATTATCTGCCACCTTTCACACATACAGAGACTGCGAGAATGAAACAGGACAGCCAAAGAAGAGCCAAAGCCTTTGAATTCTGGGCGTTGGGCATAATATGGAATACTACACCAGGTACTCCCACGAGAATGAGCCCCTGTGCCCTAAGTTCAGGCAGCATGTTCCTTAGAAGCACGGATGGTCTGACGTTGTCTCACGTAACTTTTCACATGTAATGGGGCAGAACATCGTGCTCGGTAGATGATAATAGAGGATCATCCAGAAAGGAATAGATGTTTGTTGAAATGGGTTGACACAGTGGCTGCAACACTGACCTTTAGTGCACAGTGTCGGGTTCTGCTGAGTAAGGGTCACTGTGACTCGGCAGCCACCCACCAACAGCAGCAGACATTCTTGCGAGGGCAGCAAAGAGTTCACGGAAGTGGAATTGAATGATAACGGACAGTGTCCGTACACCTGTTAACGCCTTCTCATTTGTGTACACCTATTCATGCGTACATCATTTGATGTATCTGTATATGTACAGATTGCATATATGTTTGTATGTGTGCACTTTATTGATTTAAGTTTTCCAAGATTTCAGGAAATATTGATTTATGAGCCACTCATCCTCTTCAGTCCGATTAAAGGAGCAAATGGTGAAGAAAACCCTTATCAAATGTTCACAAGTCTATAGAAATTATCTCCTTTCTCTGATTCGTCAGCTCCACTCATTGACCCCTCCACATATTCATACTGACGCGATGATCATTTGAAGTTTTTTGTGCGATACTTTCTGGAGAGGGTGTGGGAAATACAGAAGTCTCTCCTTTTGTTCCCTGACAAGGAACAATAAAGAAATACACACTAAGGACAATTGGTTTTATTTTACAGTTTGTGTTATATATTTGTCTCCATTAAATATCAAACCAAACCAAACTCACTATCATCGCGTCAATTGTGACTCCTGGTGGCGTAAAGGACGGGGCAGATAGTGGCCTGTTATCTGGGCAGAGAAAGAACTAGTACTAAGAGTTCCACAGCATGCTATGGATCGTGTTAGGCTGGGTTTGTTTCTAAGGAAATGAACTGGTTGTTTCTATACAAGAAACCAATTTCCCATCAAAAAGGTGCCCCGGCCCAGTCCAGCTTAAATCTGTAGGTCCAGTGCTGGCTGGGACCCTCTTCAGGCTCATGCAGCTTCGGGGCCACGGACACCAAAGGTGAAGCAGAAAGCAGGGAGATCACAGGCCAGGGTGCAGAGTCACATGGATCCAAGCAAGGTCAGGGCGCCAGCAGCTGTCAGGGTTGGGCAGCCCACATGGGGCCACCGCTGGAGGTAGCCACAGAGTCCCAGTGAAGTCCCAGTGAGGAGGATGGTGAAGTGGCAGAGAGGAATCGTTCCTGTCTGATATTTGTCTTATATAAAAGGTTATACCCCCAAGGAGGCATTATCAAACTATAACTTGATTGACAGGTTAAACGCCGCGTCAAGCAAGGAGTGTCTAGTTGGTTGACATACTATTTAATACCACATGGATCATTCAAAAGTAGGAGAGTTTTGTCATAGCACATGTTCTGAAACTATAAGCGAGCCTAGCTTCTTAAAACACACACTAGAAACAACAACCGGGATGATAATAAGACAAGGGAAATATTGCTACTATTCCTCAGTTTAGTACAGAAGATTACAAAAAGTAACACATCCAAGTGAAGAAGGCCATGATAACCTTTATTTCATCTGTAGATGAACCTGAAAACCCCACTGCCATAGAGTCCTTTCCTCCTAGCGACCCTGGGCCACCAGGGCTCTATAAGATCAAAGAAGCAAAACTCACTGCCATCCAGTAGATTCCAACTCACAGCAATACTATGGAACAGAGTAGGATGGAAACTGGGGGGAGCAGGGGGCTCTGAGTCACTCTTGACAGGAGTAGAAAACCTCATCTTTCTCCAGTAAAGTAACTGGTGGTTTTGAACTGCTGACTTTGTGGTTAGTTCCCCAACACACAACCCACTACAACACCAAGGATCCTTGTTCAGTTGAAAAGAAGGAGAAAGAAAACAATGAAGAATAACTTATATCGGCAAAGTTGGTAGAACATTCACTTAACAGGTACTAAACAATGAGGTCCAACATACCCATGTTAAAGATGAGGAGATCAACACTCAAAATTTTGATCAGTAAAGACCATAACCAAGACTTGAAGCCGTTAAGTCAAAGATTCTTTCACCAACCCTAACATCTCAGTTAAAAACAACAACAACAACAAAAAACCACCAAAGCTGAGGAAGGAACATATTCAATATATTTTTAAGTTCTAAAAATGATACCTGTTGAAATCGACATTTATAGGAGTTTTATTTCCATTCATTCTGTAAATATTTGTTGGATGGTGTATATTTACATTATAACAGAACAATGGGGACTACGAAAGTTTACAATAGCTAGTTGTGGAATTTCAAAGATTGGCAATTTACTTGGGAAGAGAAAACACGCGGAGAAAGAAACTCAGGGCGATCCTAAAAATACCAAGGTTCACGGAGCGCTCGCTGTGATCTCCAGGGAAAGATGAGGCTTTCTACTCCGGTAAAGAGCCACAGTCTCAGAAACCCACAAGGGCACTTCCACCCTGCACTATAAAGTTGCCATGAGTCAGAATTGACTCTACCGCATTGAGCAGTATGGTCTACATGATTTCTGTATTCAATTCGATCTTCACGACACACCTGAGAGAGGTACTCTCTTTACCTCAATTTCACACAAAAACCAAGGCCCATGATTGCCTATTGGCAGAAGTAGGCTCCAAGCCAGGACTGAATTGGACTTATGTTTCGTATACTGTTACCATCAATAGGTAGGGGCCCTGAGGGAGTAAGGACGTGAACTCTGGTGGTAAAGGTAAGAAAATAGAAGGACAGGAACTGTAATGTAGATTCAAAATAAAGTCCGGGTAAATGAAGAGTCCTGCTTTTTCCCCCCTCAGAGCAAAGGAAGGAGTGAAATACAGCACCTCCTTTTTCTATATGGTCTGTTCACTATGGAATATACCAACCAACCAAGCCACTGACCACAATTCTCTTCTGACTCATAGCAACCCCACAGGACAGAGGGTTCCTAAGGCCATAATGTTTACAAAAGCTCTTCCGGAGCAACTGGTGGGTTTCACTTGTGGACCTTTCGATTAGCAGTCAAGCACTTAACCATGGTCTACCAAGACTCTTTAGATTCTTGATAAGTATCATTCTTTTCTGGCAGGGATGGACAGATGTACAGTTTTTACAGCAGTCTATGAGCTATTCATCTTCATCCCGTGTTTCAAAAATATCAGCCAAGACAATAGGAAAATAATGTTCTTGTTTTGATTTCCATTCCTTGGATGGTTATGGAGTGCTGCTGATGTAGTGGTGACGTGCTGGGCTGCAGTCCGCATGGTCAGCAGTTCAAATCCACCAGGGGTTTCTACTGTCATCAACAGTTACAGTCCCTGTGAGTCAGCACTGACTCCACAGCAGTGAGTTTGCTTCATGAGGAAATCATTAACTTTATGTGGGGTTTGGAGACTGTACATTTTTATGGGCGCAGACAACCTCATCTTCCTCATTGAGTGACGGGTGCATTTAAACTACGGACAACGTCACATCTAGTTTCGCCCACAGCCGTGTGAAAGAGTGCAGCAACTATGGAGAACAGTTTGGTAGATCCTTTAGGATACAGAGCTACTATATCACCCATCACCTTCACTCTTACCTATATACCCCTGAGAATTATACACATGCTTGTATACAAATGGTCATAACAGCCAGAACGTGGCAATCAACTGATGAAAGAATAAATAAAATATCTATACAAGGGGATGGTCTTCAGCCATTAAACGGAGTGAAGTGCTAATTCCCACATAACAAGGAAGCACCTTCCTTGGGTTGCTGTTTCTTTTCTGCCTTGACAAAGTTCCACAGGGTGGGGGCTAGAGAGGAGCGCCTGGGAATAGTTCTTTCAGGCAAACATATAATTTGTGAGTAAGATCTGCTCTGTTTCCTGAAGAACCAAGGATTGCGATGCCACTCTGGGAAGGCAGGCTTCTGTGCCCCAGTCAGTCAGTCAGTGGACAAGCGTGGGGCATGGGCAAGTGGCAAGGGCACAGAGCACTGCAGCCATGTACAAATGACCTGCTTCTTAATTCTGTGTTCCTTTGGTGGCGGTAAACCGTGGTTTTCAGAGTGCTGACACAGTCGATTTTGACAGTTCCTGCTGGATGGTTGGTTGGTTAGGTTTCTGTAAGGGGAAAGATTCTTGAGCCTGCTGACAGGATCCCATGTTTTTATCTTAAAACGTCTTGTGAGCAGCTGTGTAGTCATTGATTTGTGGGTTAGGGCTGATCGAGAAGAGAAAAGAAGAGACAACCTCAGTGGCTGAGGTGAAAAGCGTTGATGGCCGTGAAAGGAGTGAATGGTCAGAACCAATGGGAAGATGGGTTAAAACGGTCTCTGGACTCGGAGGCCCCATCCTCAGAGTTTTTGCTTCAGTAGGTTTGGGCTGCAGTGTGAAACCTTACTGATGGTTCTAATAAGATCATAG